CAGGAGAGGAAGGGAGAGGAAGGGCGAGGAAGGGAGAGGAAGGGAGGGGGAAAAGGGCCTGGAGGCCGTAAAGCCATCGTCGAGTGGAGACCATGATTGCGTCGGAAGCAGAAGTGAGGGGTCTCAGTTCTTGCTTCGCGCAAGGTAAGCACGACCTAGAGTTCATCACAATAAAAGTCCTCTTGGTTTGATTGTCCATTTGTTGGCACAAAAATATGAAAGAGAGAGAGAAAGTGAGAGAGAGAGAGAGAGAAATCCTCTGAGGAATTCAATATATGTGGCACAGGAGTCACAGGCACCAATTATAATGAAAACTCGTATCAAAATGCAAAAAAAAAGGCAAATACAACGTATTGCCGTAACAATTGGCACGGGATTTGTTTATTTTTTCCTTTTGGTGTTGTGAAGGACCAGCCCGGCAGCCCGATTCCGATTTTTTTTTTCTGCTTTGTCTCGCGTCTGTGCGATGCACATAAATAATATGCTTGGAGGGCAAGGGGAGAAAAGGGAGGGGGGGAGGGAAGCAGGGGGAAAGAGGGAAAGAAGTGCCCGTGTCGGGGTTCCTCAGGTCGCTCGCCTCGGGCATCCGGCGGGGGAAGAGGTCGCCGGACGGGAACGGGACGGAGGAGTACTCCCCGCACCGATGGGAGTACTCCCAAGACCCGCTCTACGGGCCGCTGCTGTCCAGGATGGACGCGTACTTCGCGGGGCTGGGCGTGGAAGGACGGGGATGCAAGGAGAGGGTCGCGTGCGAGGCGGCGGCGAGGCCCGAGCGGTTCCGGCCCGTCGCGGACGTGCTCGTCAAGCCGCTGAGGTGAGGCGAGGGAACGGTGGCTCGCGGCGGTGCTCTTCCTCCGGTTCTCGTCGGTGACCGCTTCTCGTGTGTCCCCCTCGCAGGACCATGGACGAGCTGGAGCGGCCCGGATATCACCGGGGATACGTCTTCCGCCTCTTTCAGTATTATTGGGCAGCCTCTAAGGGCCGGTCGAGAGAGGACTGCGCGGCGGAGTATCCCCAGTGTTCCACGTCTCTGGAGGAGATCCTGGACTCCAGGGCTCTCGAGTCCTGGCAGAATCTCGGCAGCTATCTCGACGTCAAGCTGGTGGACCGATGATTCTCTTTTTTGTCTCCACGTTTCCGACTAATGCTTTTTTCCACCCTCTCGAGCACTGCGAGGGCCCTTCTCTCGGACTCTGCTTCTGTGATTTTTTTTGTGTTTGTGTGTTCTCTGTTTGAGCTCTGTCGTTGCTTCTTTTTTTTATGACCCGAGCGGATGCAGGATGAGCCATGGTGGTCTGTAAAAACGGTTGGAAATTTTCAGGGAACGTTCCCGGTTTCATAACCGGTCTCCCTTTTTTTTCTTGGGTTGTTAAAGCCAAGAAGTTCCGTTGTTTCATATTCCCCTTTTTTTTCCCCCTACGAATGGCTCACCCTGTAGACCACGT